CATTTGTCTGGAGTTTGTATTTGTAATGTATTATTTTCTTTTCGTCTAAGTAAAAAAAATTCTCTGTGACAATGAATTGATTTATACTTATAATGGTAATGCTATACTGTTATAATTTTTGAAATAACACAACACTTAAATATAATGGTAATTGTTATACTGTGTCATAATTTTTAAAAATAACACAACACTTTTAAATTTCAAAGACATGTGTCGACTTTCATAAAGCCATCTCAAGTTTAAAAGCGTTGTGTTATTTAAAAAAAAAATTCATCACGTGTGTTCTTAAGCTCACTTGAAAATGTTATACTGCACCCATTCTCATCTTCAATCGTTCTATTTCATCGACAAACACATAATGCATCTGTCTGTCTGTCAATCCATCCATCAAATGTATTTTATAATGCACCAGAAATCAAARGCTACAGTGAACAATCTTCCAAGACAAAGTCTCAACCTGAACAAAMCATGGTTGCTGCAGCAATCCCAAAACTAGCTGAAGTTCCGGCAAAGGATTCAAGAATTTTCTCCCCCAAATCAAGCAGCACAACAACAAGCAATGCAGCCAATGTAGTGGTTGGTTTCTCAACGCCTGTAATTCCACAAAGCAGATCTACTGCAAGGTGAGGTCATGTGGATTAGAAGATTACATGGTTTATATGTACTGTAATATAAACTACAAATAGAGTACTCAAGTGTGACATCACAAAAACACTTTTTCTTAATTTTTCGGATTCGTTGAAATATCCTTAAAGCGCATTGTAAAAAGTAGCTATCAACCACATTTCAGTGTCCTAGTGCCATTTATAGCGGTGATACAAGCGATTTTATGGTCAGGTGATCACATACAAACGCTTGTAAATTATAATGTTATTATTAATAATAACTTACTGTTCATTCACTGTCAAAGGAAAATTCTCTCCGTAAAGGTAATTAGTTAATTTATCCTATTGACGTTTTAAGTTCCCCAGATCATATTCAAGATGGGGCAAAGCTGGAAGATTCAAAACTAGTCAATAAGTCTCCTGATGTTCAACAGAAACCCAAAAGCTCAAAACAGGTACGATTGAGCACACTTTTCTGAAACTGATTGACTTCAATTTATTTTCTTAGTTTTAAATGAAAAAATGAATGGACAGGAGATTGAAAAGATGGGAATAAAGGATGAATAAATAATGTGCAAAGGGAACATTTTTTCTTCATTTCATAGTTAGACGTTAAAGCTGAATATGAAAAACGTCAGCAGGGAAAAGAGTTGCTCAACCTTGTAGTCATTGGTAAATACATTATATTGATATTAAACATTTTCTTGTGTAAAAYAATATGTATATTCGCTCATGGTGACAATATGAAATACCCTTGGCAGTACCCGCTACTCGCCCTCTTCGTATAGTTATGATATTGGAAATCATCATTCCCTGATGCTTGATTGTGATTCCATGATAGTTAATAATTATCTACTTTTCTATATAATATGAAAGAGGCAAGATTAGGCAAAATCTTGCCTCTTTCATATCATATATAACTAGCTCTACACTTTATGTGTATTGAGCACTCTTTAATGGGATCAGCCACTTCTTCATACGATTATCTACTTTTCTATTAAAATTTCAAGGCCSACCATTTTATTACCTCCCCTCCCCATCTCATAAAWAATGAACAGTTCCTAACATGCTTGTTCCTGTTTTCCAAGGTCATGTTGATGCTGGTAAAAGTACACTGATGGGTCATTTGTTGTTTTTACTTGGTGATGTTTCCAAGAAAGCCATGCATAAGTATCCTTTGTTATGATAATGATAGTTGCATTTATAATGAAAATCGACCCTTTTAGCAATCTCTTTATGCTGTGTTAGACTTAATTAACCATGTAATAATTTCTTTTATTCACTAACAGCACGTGCAAATGCAAGACAATGGAAACAGTTTGAAATTTCACTGGTTTTATCTAAAATTTCTGATTATTTTGCACAGCGTAAAAGAGATTGCAAAACTCAACTATTTTATGATGGTCCTATCCATTGAGTTGTTTTCTTGACCAGTTAAGATATGAAAATGAATCCAGGAAAGCTGGCAAGGCTTCTTTTGCCTACGCTTGGGTGCTGGATGAGACAGGCGAAGAAAGAGAAAGGTGCCAAAAATAATGTTTTGTWTTTGAATCATCAGTAGTATTTTTTTTACGTATCATTTTTTTTAAAAGGTACAGATAGCTTTACCGAGCAAAATACTCTAGTTTTTTTTGCACAATATGTTTTTGACACAATAATAATTCAATACAGATATATTTTCATTGTATTATGCTATCTTATTCTTATTGCTTTTTGTCATAACACTTGTTTGTTTGCTTTAGTTATTGTGATAGTGTTGTTTTAAATGTTGATTTTGCTACTTTATTTCAAAGTGTTGTTGCAGTCTAGCTTCCTTCCCAGGCAACTCTTTTATCCTCCTTTGGGCTTCCTTTGTAATGGTCATAAAAGACAGAAAGCCCGTCGCTCTTAGTGATATCTGTGAAGGAGGCTAGTTGTGGTCATTGTTGCAGTTGTTGTTAGTTGTGTATGCATTACAGTAATGGCTTTGGACTGAAGCAACAGGACCAAATACATCAAACTGTCTTTCTTGAGTTTATTATTTTAACAAGTGGTGTTCATGTAGTATATCGTGGTTTACTTATTGGTTTACTTATCAGAGGTATCACTATGGATGTTGGTCTCACACAGTTCTCCACAAAAACAAAGGACATTACTCTAATGGACGCTCCTGGACATAAGGACTTTATACCGAATATGATAACAGGAGCAGCACAGGTTAGTTTGACAACTGAAAACCGATGTATATTGGCCGGGATATTTAAAATTGCCTTTTTTTGTCCTATCAAAGAAGAAAACAAACTAATGTAGTCATAGATTGACTTTTTCTGTAGATAAAAAAGTCATAGTTGCGATATTTAAAAAGCTTCATCAATAAAAATTGAAGTTCCTGAAGACACGCAAAAAAGGTTTGCGCAAAAAGTGCACATGTATTAAAACAATTATTTGGCAAAATGACGAAAATTGATTGCCCGCGAAAATTAGTGAACTATGCTCAAAAAGGATGCGTGAGTCGGGATAAAACTGAATTTTTATAAGAGTAAAAAAAAAATAATAATAAAAGAATAATCATTCAAATTTTACTCGATTCTGGAAATTTCCTTTAATTTTTGTGAGTCCAAGGAGAGTCTTATTATTCTTTTTATTGTGATGTTTTGTATTGAATTTTGTTATTCCCGATATTTTGAAACTCCGATTTGGCTTATAGCAGGGATAGAAACGAGAGAATTGGAATTGTAAAGAATGCAAGAAGCAACTCTAACGAAAAAATAATCCGAACAAAAAATGATGAGCTAAATGACAAAAAGGGCAGACAACCTTCTCAACTTCTTCTTGATATGAATTGGATAACATTACTACTGGCCCCTGTGAAAATAACGACGTTTTCAGATTACGTCACAGCGGCCATCATCTTTAACAAATGATTTCTCATTATTGTTCATTCCTCCAACATGGCCGCTGGTCTTTTATCTTTTGAATTTCATGGGCATGAGTTAAAACGACCAATACTGTTGAGTCAGTTGTCTCAATTTATTGTTTTGTAGGCTGATGTTGCTATTTTAGTCGTGGACTCCAGTACTGGGGAGTTTGAAGCAGGATTTGAATCTGGTGGTCAAACTAGAGAACATGCATTGCTTGTACGCTCACTCGGAGTAACACAACTCATTGTTGCTGTGAATAAACTTGACAATGTAAGACATAGTTTTTAGCTTTCCTTTCTTCATTTTAGTTTTGGGATTCCTGTCTTCCTTGATATGACCGAGGGAGGCTGTGACCGAAAAGAAAACCTCTTGCCCAAGCCCCCGCTCGGCCAAAAGGATGCTAGAGGGATCCCAAGAGGGAGAAATGAAGTGTTGCGAATGAAGTTGTAGTCATTCAGATACTTGACATTGCAAACTTCGTTCACTACTTTGTAAATCATTCTAGGTTCACTGGAGTGAAGACCGGTATTTATATATCACAGGAAAACTTAAAACATTTCTGAAGCAGGCTGGTTTTAAGGTACTTAAATCTGAAGACATAATGCTTGTCATAAGTGATTTTAAGAAATTAGCGAAATAGATAAGGATGATACGATCACTGTTCTTTTTGCAGTTTCGCGCGCTCATGTTTTGTACGTAATTTGCAGCGACGCCATTTTGGTAGCTCAAAGAGATTTTTAAATAATTTTTAAAAATATATCAATGAAATGAGACAAATGACTTATATTGGTGAACAATTATCATAGAAGCATAACCAATTTTTATTGGAAGTTAGAATAGTCCCTGTAAGCTGTTGCAGTCTTGCAATCAAAGACTGTCCATATTGAGATGACTATTTTTTGGTTTGTAGGAATCTGATGTTGTGTATGTGCCTTGTAGTGGTCTCTCAGGTGAAAACCTCGTTAAGAAATCCTCAGAAGAAAAGTTGATAAAATGGTACAAAGGTCCTTGTTTATTGGAGAAGATAGGTAAACACCAGACTTAACTAAACTGTCATTAGATTGGTATTGTAGAATGTCCTCTAAAATTAAGGAAACGTAATTATTCCACTATAATTTTACTTCTATGGATAGTGTTATTTCAACACTAACCCGGAAATATTTGTATCTGTCATTTTTTTWATGATTGAGCTTTCAAAATCTGTCTCAATAGACGAAGCTAAAAAAAGTGCAGAAAAACGCTTAGAATATTGCATACCGACGATGTGACAAATATAGTCGTCCAGTTTTTTTTTTTTAAGAAAGAAAGAAAGAATGAGAGAAAAGAGAATTCCTGATGCAAAACTTTACCAGCATCGTGTGAGCAAAGACTTGTTCGAAACCACTGGTGTTGACATTGACATTGATGACAATTTTACGGCGGTCAAAGACGATAACATGGAAGCGTTTATCGCTATTTTTTAACGCTTTTGACAAARTGCATTAAGTTGAAGGACGATAGAGTATCATTCTCATGGGATCCCTGTTTTGTTTGGTTTTCAGATAGTTTTAAGACTCCTGTTCGGGATATGGATAAACCCTGGAGATTTTGTGTTTCTGATGTTTATAAAGGTAAGGGATGATTAAAGAAAGATTATTGCGATCTCRAATGGTCTAATGTACACTTCTAACAAACTCTCGTTTTGAGCACACCCCAAGATTACTAATCGGACATGTACAAATTTTAAGTGCCTACTCCAAAGATATGAAAGTAACTAYCTTTACAGCGGGCACTCGCTACTGCTTGTACTTCATTACGTCCGGTGCCCGTTATAAGGAGAATTGAGTATACGATGTGTTTTTCGTTACAGGAATGGGTACAGGCATCAACCTCGCAGGTAAAATGGTGGCTGGTAGTGTACAGAATGGCAACAAGGTGTTAGTTATGCCTGCTGGCGAACAAGGACTTGTTAAAGGTATTTTATTAA